TAAGATTAATACGCGGGAAGAATGTAATATAATTGTTATTTATTACATTTTAATTGGATAAAATCAACACATTTAAGAATTTCTAATTTTAATAAACAATAATAATTTATATAATTAAATGTAAGTCGAAGTTTACATTATAGACTGAAAAAAACAATTAGGCAACCGAAATGGAACTAGATTTCTAATATTAAATTTCGTCTAATAAAACAAAATATTACGTAAGAACTAAGAATGGGTCTCTCCCCCTCCCCACAAGATAAGGGCATGTGGGGGTTTTTTGACCCCTCGACAGCCTTACGTAGTTAATGAATTACCCCTAACATTTTCTATAAATATTAATTTATTAGCGAAATAACACTCGGATTTGATACTCAATAATACTCGGATGTTATTCAAACAAATTAAACTTCCCACTTACAAAACGATCTGTACCAACGTATCTTTGTGATGGAACAATTTGATCCACTTCCGTAGAGTGCTTTGGAACAAAAGTCATTCAAAGCCGCTCTCGCCAATTAAAACCTACATCGAAATTCATCGCTCATCATAATTTGTGTCTGTCTCTCTTATTTAAAATTCGTTTTGGAATTTAAATACGACGCTATTTAAAAAAAAAGTTGATTTTATTTTTTTGACTTCAGAACGAGTAGTTATCAGATGTTCTAAATAAACGAGGTCAGCGTTTGAATCCCACCTGGAGGAAACATTTTATTTGAAACAACAATACTTGTTGATTTTATTATTACGAAATTGCATCTAATTTCAGTGAAATACATCATACTCCGTCAGGTTGTTAGTGAGGCGACTTATCGTATACTGAGACTCTGATAGATCTTGTTTGTACGAATGCACCAGTTCGTGATGTCACTGTCAACAATATAATGGATTACAATGGACACGCAATGGTTAATGTTACACTATCGTTAAAAGAGGTTAAAATACCAACTAGAACTTTCAGTTTCAGGCCAATTAATAAAATAAATCTAAATGAATTCAATAATGATTTATATGCAATCAACTGGGACGATGTAATTGAGTTACCTTCAGTGGATATAATGGTGGAAAAATTTAATTCAATGATGATCTCTCTCTCTTTGATAAGCGCTGCATGCTTGCAGTGAAAACAATAACTCTAAAACCAAAATATTCACTGCCGTGGGTAACCGATGTCTGTAAAATGATGATCGATGAGCGTAATATGGTTTACGATGTCTATAGAAAATCCGGATCAGACGAACATAAAAAATATTACAAGGAGCTCAAAAGTCTAGTGTTAACAAGTATTGCAGGAGAAAAGCGGGACTACTTCAATAGTTTAGTTAATTCTCAAGCTAAAAATAGCAAAACATTTTGGAAAAATTTGAAGGAAAAAATTTTGGTTGACCCCTCGAAAGACAAATCTTTGCCTCCCTATTTCAATGACCCAAACAAAATTAATGATCATTTCTTGAATATTCCGGGAGACAATGTAGTTTCCAACGCAGATATAATATTTTTTGAACATAAGAAATTCCATACAGAGGTATTTAAATTAGCTCCCGTAGAATCAACATATATTTCTAAATATATAATATCCAAAATAATATATAAAATAAATATATAAAATCGAATGCTGTTGGACACGATGGAATTAGCAGAGATATGATATTACTCTCTCTTCCATGCACTATGGATACAATCACGGCTATAATTAATAAGTCAATTATGACGGGTATAGTTCCTGATAAGTGGAAGGAGGCACTAGTGACCCCAATACCCAAAAATGAAAACCCGATCGAATTAAAAGATCTTAGGCCCATCAGCATTTTGCCATTCTTTGCGAAACTGCTGGAGAAAGCTATTTGCGAACAGTTGACAAAATCTGTTGAAACGACCAACATCTTGCCTCATTTACAATCTGGGTTTCACAAAGGATGTGGCACATCGACTGCTTTACTCGATGTCACAGACAATATATTAGCTGAACAAGATTTCGAACACAGTACGATTCTAACACTATTAGACTATTCCCGCGCTTTCGACTGCCTAAATATTCACCTACTGCTTGTTAAACTGTCATATTATGGTTTAGACAAAAATTCGGTCAAGTGGTTCAGTAGTTACTTGAATAATCGGTACCAATCAGTTAAATTGGTAAAAAGTGATGGCTATAGTAAGTTCTCATCCAAGGCTTATTAATCGTGGCGTTCCTCAGGGTTCAATACTTGGTCCACTTCTATTTATAATTTACTGCGCTGATCTTGTCAAAGTTATAAAGTATTCTACGTACCACTGCTACGCTGATGATGTGCAAATATACGTGTCGGACTCACCAGATAAGTTACCACAAGCTGTCACACGGCTTAATGAGGACTTGGACAGAATTGCTGACTGGTCAATAAGAAATGCCCTTGTTTTAAACCCTTCAAAGTCAAAATATATGGTCATGGGCACAAAGACGCAAATAAATAGAATTTGTGGTGACCTAGACGTTAAGATTCATGGTAAACATATAATGCGCGTGGATGAAGCCAAAAACCTTGGCATTACTTATTTTTTATTTTTTATTTATTTATTAGGAAGCCAACATTATACATATTGTACAATGAAAAAATGCTTACAATTTTTATAGATTAATCTGAAGTTTAATACATATCATACTTATAGGCTAACTTAACATGTTAAAGTAAAATAATAAGTAACGCACATTATTATTGAAAAAGGAAGAAAGGATAACAAAATAACCTATTGTAATGCATCAAACCAAAGAAAAAAAAACAAATTTTTTTTTCTACAATAACTCAAGAGGTTATCTTAATTTTGTTATAAAAATGTTTTTTAATTTTATTTTTAAAAGTGGTATAAGAATCGTTGAATTTGTCAAGATCGATTAATTTAGAAATTACATAAGTATTTAAGGTTCTATTAATTGGAGCTGATAGTCAGACATTTGTTCTAATTAAAAAAATTACCTTCGACACTAATCTCAGATTTGAAAATCATGTCCTTAATATGGTAAAAAACTGTTTTTATCGCCTAAAGGTTTTATACCAAATCCGTGACCAACTTTCTGTACCATCACGCATTACTCTTTGCGAGTCCTTGGTTTTGTCTAGGCTCAACTACGGGGATGTTGTTTATGGACCCCGGATTTTCAGCAAAACAAAGCGACTAATACAACGCGTGCAAAATGCATGTTGTCGGTTCTGTTTTGATGTACCTCCCAGAAATCACATTACACCCTTTCTGAACAATGCTTTCATGCTCAATATGGACTCACGCAGAGAGCTACATTTAGGGGGACTAGTCTTTATTGTTATTAAGTTTAAGAAACCAGAGTACTTGCATGCAAAGATAAAGTTTCCTAAGCAAAATTCTGGAAAACAATTGAGGTCCATAAGATCAGCACTCCTATATTACAGCGATAAAACAGCGGCATTTACCGGCAGTTTCCGCCATATGGCAACGAAGTGTTGGAATAACATCCCACCACCAATAAGAAATCTTAACACCAACTACAAGTTTAAAAACAAATTCAAAACATATCTTCTAGATAAAAACAAGGTATTCCCAACACGTTTGCCAGTTATAAACCATTGCATGTTATTTTCTCTTTTTTTCTTTTACTTACTCATCATGGTTGGCTAAGTCTTTTAGGTACTAGGCTTAATTGGGTACACAGTCTTACACATCTTTTCCGTAATTTTTTACTAAATTAAACCCAAGATATAAATCAGAGATGAAAGGACACATCTTTCAGACATAATTACACTACAATAATATTAACGTGCAAAAAAAAATAGTTTTTTCCTTATTTCTTTCTGATTGTACTATTGTGCTCATTTTCTTCTCGCCACCTCGAGGGTAATAGCTGAAAATCAGTGTTTGCTCTCTGAGCAATATTAATCGCTGAGCTATGACCCATTTGTTTAACTGCAACACACATGTATTTTTTAGATCATAAGTTTATGTATTTTTTTCCATAATACTTTGATTGTATATCTAGTTAATCACTGAATTTACGTGTATGATTGGAGATACAAATAAACGTTTTATCTATCTATCTATCTATCTACTCCATAGGTGGATTACTTCTGGACCGCCAGCTTTGTAGGTTGGATTTGTCTTAATCGTTAAGCTAAGCGGATGGTTTGTGTAGGCATTTTGTAATAGCTCCTCTACACGATGGGCCAGCGCTGGGCCAGCGAGATGGCCATGCGATCGTTGAAACGCAACTACACGATGGCGACATTCAGTTGTGATCGAAACGTTTTTCAAGATGGACATGGATGAATTAGCCGCTGCGGCAATATATCTATACAGCACGTACTGTTATTTTCTTAATGTGCACAAGAATAGAGTTATCAAAAAGAAATGGCGTAGAAGAAGATGGTGGATGTTATCTATCCATCGCAATAGAACTAAATATGTCCTTAGTCAATTTAGTTTTTTTTAAACACAAATAATTAAATAATTATAATTAATAGTTTAATAAATAATTATTAATTAATTATTCAAAATAAATAAGGAACAAATTATGTATATGTCTGATTTTAGTAGCTCTATGATTAAAAATTTATAACTTCATTATGAGGCCATATATTCGACATTTTTTTAATTCGTTAATAATTAATAAACAAAACATGAACGTCCACACTCAACTGTCGAGCGCTCAAATCTGTGGAATGGGACACGTGTAGATGCGTACCGCCATCGCTGGCCCACTACCTTTGATGTGCGGTGAAAAAACCGACACCGACGTCATCCTCAAGACCATCGCACACGCCATAAGCCATCAGGCACAACTACGCCATCAACACGCTGGCCCATTATAGTAGGCCATCACGATGGCCCATCGTGTAGAGGGGCTATAAGGGCGTATTCCTTTCACGATTGAGTCAACCCCTTGATGTCGTACGACTAAATGCAGTTGCAGCTTGTTACTATTACGAACAAACGTAAGGATTACTTGACCACAAAGGTGTGTTTCTTTAACAAAAAAGATATGGTAGTCATACCGTGTGCTGGTGTAGACGCAGCTTGACGCTTGGGCGAGCCGCCCGGCGCCGCGGGCTGCATCGCGCGCGCTAGAGGACCGTCGCCGCACCGCCCGCCGCCCTCCGGCTCATGGCTGCAAAGATTTAAAAATATATAAGGTTAATAAATCTAATACATGTAAATAAAATTCAAGTGTCGACTGATGTGTCCTCAGTCTAGTTCTACCGATGTGTTCGAAGCCTAAACTTTTAAATTTAGTTCTACGGCGTTAACGGAACGGAATCAGTTATTCTATAATAAAATATGAGCTCGTTGTAATATTGTGTAAGTATTTAATTATGTGTAGCTATCATCGATTAGGAGTTGATATGCTGATAGTCTGTAACATCTGAAGAGTAAGATGGAATGCCGCGTTGCAAGTAAAAAAGGTTTATAGTTTTCTCTACTAATATTTAATACGAAACAACAGCGTTATGCTGCTACCGACTCACTCGTGCTGCAGACATGATACACCTGCTGAAGTAGTATTACAATGCTAGTATATAAGTAAGTTACTGATTTATGTAGAGCAGTCATTAATAAACTTCTTGATCAAGCGCGCGTGTTTAACTCAAGCCTCTAAATATTACATAGCGACCCTGCTAGGATTCTTGATCAACGTAACTATCTCATTTCATTGACCAATTCCGAAAGCGTCAGTGAAATGTGTTTTACAAATTTGAATATCTGCTAAGATTTAGCTGATAAGTAGTAAAGTAATTAAAAGAAAAATGTCAATTTTTATACGATTAGCTAGCAACCCGCCCCGCCCCGACTTCACCCGGTTGGGGTATTTTAACGTGGCGTCATTTAGATTTTAGATAACCATCAAAGACCATTTATCAATTTCTCGATTTCCAAAAAAATTTCCTACATTTTTTTGGGAAAATATATAGCCTAAATCACTCCTAGAATTGTTCTCTATCTGTTAAAGAAGATTCATCGCAATCGGTTGGCTATTTCTAATAATTAGAAATATAAACCAAGACAGATATACAGGCAAAAAATTAAAAAAGACAACAGCGTGTTTTAATAGCAGGCAAATAGAGAGCGCTGAGCTTGAAAAAGCCCAGTTATTTCTATATTTTTTTAAGAGAGGGGAAAAACGAGCATGCGGCTCACCTGATGGTAAGTGACTATCGCTGCCACAGAAATCTAAATAATAGTGCCTTATTATTTAGATTTCTGTGATCGCCGCCCATGAACAACCGCAACACCAGGGGGAATCGCAGATGCGTTGCCGGCCTTTTAAAGAGGAGTAGGCTCTTTTCTTAAAGGTCCCTAAGTCGCATCGATCCGCAAAAATCTCTGGTAGTTGTCGATTCCTGCTATACTACAAGACACTTAAATTGTATTATGTATATATAAAGATGTATAGATTACATTAATTTCTCAAAAATATAATGATGCACTGTTTGTCAATTTACAGATCCTATAGGTTACTTTGTAATGTACGTAACATTTTCCAATTAAAATTTCGGTCTTTCCATTTGCAACACGTTGAAGCTTTACTAGTCTTCAAAATAAATTTTAAATTTTATTATATTCGGTAGAGCGTCGCGTATCCAATTACATTAGAAGTTTGTCGAATACGGACCACTCCTTGCGACACAATCCTACTTGACGGCGAGTTCTTCACGGAACGTTGGAACGATTCAAGTGGAGCAAGATAGAACATGAACCCTCCAAAAGACTGTTAACTACGGTTTCGTCACGCTTCTACTCAAATGTGTTTTTCTCAGTTTTTTTTTAATTTAATACATAGTACAGTAACTAAGACGTAAATAATATAGAGTGGCTAAATTAGAGTTGTAAATTGTAAATTGTAGTTGTTTGTTGTGGCGTCAAATTTGACAATCATTTAATTTTATACTGCTTATTTTTTATTATTGCTAATTATGGTTGTAGCACGATTGGAACGGTTGTAGCACGATTGAGGAAACCTGCATGTCTGAGGAATAAGAAAAAAATAATTCGAAGATATGTGAAGTTCGCCAACACGCATTGGGGCAGCGCGGTGGACACTTCTTTACACTAAAACCCTCTCAGAAATGCGGGGAGGCCTGTACCCAGCAGTGTGACGTATATAGGCTGTAACTACTTTACTTTACTTTTACGATTGGAAAGCACCACGCTCTCACATTATACCAGCATAAAACAGCAGATAAATGCTGCTGTGTTTCGTATGGTGAGTGTAGAGAACAGGCGAAGAACCGCGTATCCAGTAAAAGAAGGTTTTACTAAAGGCATTCCATCTTAGTTCTCCGGGGTGATGACGCATCTTTTTTGATCCTTATTAGATGACAGATGTAGATGTCTATAGGCCACGACACTTACATTCAAGGTGGGCTGTGTGCTCGCTTGTCACCTTACTCTCCAAAAAAAATTTACAATACAAATACAGTACAATATTTTTAAATACTTTACATCAAGAAAACAAAATTTACAAGTATTCACGGCAAACAATAGGCGATACTATTACTACATAGCATTTTTTCCAGACAACCCAAAAATGAATTAAATAAGAAGAGCAGGAAAATATTAACAGGTAAAGTGCATTATAGTCACAAAAGCTAACAACATGTGCAATAAACAAGACAACATTGTAGTTATTCACCTAGTGCCGCAGGTGCGGTAAATTTATTACGGAACGTTTTCATTTGAGCAAAGTATTTTAATTGTAAAACGTTCTTACGTAAATGAGTCTTTTGTACGAAATGGCTTAAAAATTGCGTCTCATTTTCAGAGAATCAACTTACCTTCGCGACGAACAATCCGCTACAACAGATAAATTGGTTCCTCATAATGTTTAAAGAGAAGACATTTTCAAATGTCCGTGGCAGTGTACGGCATATTTGACACTGTCTATAACGTTCTTATAACCAAGGAATTAAGAAGACCTATCTATAGAGGATTTGTAAGAAAATTTCAAGCCCGTTCCTATATATTATTCAGTTAATTCAAATACTTGAACAAACCTTGGAATTTTTAACGCCTTCGTAACTTCATTTGTTTTGTACTAAGCAGATTGGAAGGTAACCCAGATTTTCATACAAATACTTTTCTACTTTAATCTAAATGTCAAAGCCCATTACAACTTCAGTGGGTTCATAACAAAACAAATTAGTATCCTTTGTTATTGTATTCACTTTGAAGGTTGCACTTTCCGTAGAAATAAAAAATGCACTCGCGTGTCGTTTTGTTATTTGTGTGTTATTGTGAGGTGAGTAAAATTGTAGTATGTTATTCTATTTTGTACCCAAACACATCTACTGTAAGTAAGATTTTACATTTAAAGCCTGTAGTTTTTTTTTCCCGGTACGAAGCTAAAATAATACGAGGACTTCCGTAATAATATCTTACCCGTTTGGAATCAAGTAAGAAAGGGGTTACCTTTTATTATAAAATAAGGGTGAGAAAACAGACACAGTCCACCTGATGTAAGTAGACGCTGTGGCCCATAGACATCTACATTTATCCTCGAATAAGAATCAAAATGCAGATGCGTTGTCCACACTGAGTATTAAGATAGAATGCCTCACTTCTAGTAAAAAAGGGTCTCCGGAAATCTACACTCACCATACGAAACACAGCAGTATTAAGCTGCTTTTTTACGTTGGTATTCTGTGAGAGCGTGGTCCTTCCCCAATCGAGCCGACCCATTCGTGCTGCAACCATAATATAGCTGCAGCTTGACTCTACCGCGTTTGTTGGTCATCTGGTAGTAACAAGTACTAAATTTCTTTAATCAATAAACGATATATGCAGTGAGTATAAAGTCAGAACATCACTATTAAGATACAACAAAATATATTTTTTTTTATTAATGTAAGCCTAAAATTGACACCTTGCATTAGGGATGTTCAAAATTAATATATTCCATACTTAATTTGATCATACGTTCAGCTGCACAACCAGGGCTTTTATAATTATTAGAAAATAGCTTAGAGACAGACTAACCCTTGATTACTTAAAAAAAATTAATAAAAATACTGAAAGCAATTACGATGAAAATATAATAACTCCCTATGATAGATGTCTTGGGGTTTCACCCTTATCCAAAAAAAAAAAAATAATATGCATGTTTTTTTTCACGTTTAATATGCCGTTTTATAATATTTATCCTCGACTCTTCAGAGTTAAGTTTTTTAGGACATACTATGGGGTTATAACATAAGATTTTCATTTTCATTATAATATTTAGAAAAAAAACCATAACGAATAATTAAAAAAAATGCTTCTTCGCATCAGTAAACCATTGCTTTTATTCTAGGACTTTATAATTTTAGGAAAATCCGGGAAAACTTAACTCACACTTGACAACCCTGCGTAAAAACTTCAACGCTACCCGGCAGACAGGGTAGCGTAATGCTGTTTTATCACAGCAAGACACTGGAAAATTAAGTTTCCCCGCGTCGCGGCGCCGTGATTCCCTCCATCTGGATAGCTAGCGCCCGCAATCTTACATGTTCACTCTTCTCTGGCTTAATGTAATGAGGTTATGTGATTTATGCGACGTACAACATAGGCAAGCTGGGGTATGTTGCATCATTACTTTAGAAAGCAACGAGGCGGAAAAAGTTGCCACAACGTACTATTATTAGTTTCATGAGCTGCCATATTATTAAACCAGGTGTAATATATATGTTCTAGACATGTGTCAATCGTGAATGATTCGTTCATTTTATCCCGGTCGCACCAAAGTATTGATGATTGCGATTACATTTTTTTGAACGTTTCGGATCAAACAGGTCGATCGATCTGACGGTTCCGTGGCGCAGTGGCTTAGCAATGAGTTACAGCGCTGAGGGCCGCGGGTTCGAATCCCGCACGGAACAAATATTTGTATGGCCTACAATTAATTGTTCCGGGTCTGGATGTGTGTCCTTGTGAAATTCATCTTTGTAAACTGCCCCCACGATACAGGAGAAAATCCTAGTGTGGAGGTAAGTTTTTCAAAAAAAAAAGAAAAGAAAGAAAACTATTGACAGTGACAGTGAAAAGTAAGAAAACTAGTGACCTCTGACCAATGAGTATAATAGTAATGTCCGACGACCAACATTATCGAGCGGGTCTCACAGATCACAGAGTACT